TTCTCTCTCTCTCTCTCTCTCTCTCTCTCTCTCTCTCTCTCTCNCTCTCTCTTCTTCTCCTCCTCCTCCCTCCTCTTCTTCTCTCCTTCCTCACTCTCTCTCTCTCTCTCTCTCTCTCTCGCAAAAAACACAAGTCCGCTTCGTTTCGTTTCTCTAACAAAATATATTAGCTTTTTTTTTTTATGTACATACATCTCGAATATAATAAAATTAAAATATAGAGCTATAATACAAGGGCGTGTGTGATAAAGAGTGTGCTTTCCTTTCTTTTTTTTTTCTGTGGGCATATGTGGGTTTCACGTTCGCGTTTCCTTTCCTCGGATCGCATCACTCCTGCCGAGAAAGAGTACAATGCGCGAGTCGAGAAGGTGGCGTTAACGTTCGTAGCGTTACTTTTCATTCCGATACTGATCGCAAAAATTATCTCGGTATCTCGGTATGATGCCTTTTTTAGGTACTTGGTAATGAGAATGATTATCTAATTTGATCGGTCGATATATATATATATATATCTCTAAAAGTCTGAACGTAACGCGATGCACGTGTACATCGCGTCCATCGCATCGCCACAGTATGTAAATATATATATAAATATATATATATTTATATATATATGTATTCTGTCATGTGTGTATGTTCTATGAGTGTACGTGTGCGTGTTTTCCTTCGCACGTGTGTATAAACGATCGGAGTAAGATGCATCGAAAATATATAACATTAAGAGAATCGAAGATTTATTCGCGAGCGAATTTACATATGCACGCGTTGGTTACAAACATTCTCTTATCGTGTGATCGTTGTGTGTACGTGTGTGTATGTGTGTGCGCGTGTGAGAGTGCGATTGATGCGTGATTTGTTCAGAGTTGCAACGCGTTTCTCCGTGTTGCGAATTACGCGATCGAATGAGGCGGCGAACCCGCGAAACACGCGGTGACCACCACCCAGTCTTACGTACATTGAGAAAAAAAGAAAAAAGAAAAAAAAATAAAAGTTAGACACGAAAAAAAGAAGAAGAAGAAAAAAAAAAGAAACAAAGAAGATCGGACGAATCGATCGCCCGTCTTTAATGTTTTTTTAATTTTCGTTTCAATCGTCTCGCGTAAATTCCAAAGGGTCAAAGAAAAGAATCGCAACATGGCGGCTGCGCGAAAATCTCGAAATTGCTCGCGGCTTTTTTTTTTTTTTTTCCTTCCATATCCGTTTTTCTCCATATATCTTTTTCTCCATATATTGTTACGCGTCGTGTACAACAGACGAACGGAGAAAGTGTCCGATGCACTTGGTGTATAATAAAAGTTCGCCATGAAAGCGGAGGCACTTTTCTTCCAACACGCGAAGTTGTCGACGTAAGCTCCAGCTGCCGAAAAGCTTCTCCTCGGCCGAGAGCGAGGAGCGTCTCTTCTTCAAACGAGTCACGCCTCTTCCTCCTTCTCCTATTATTCTTCGCCTCTTCTTTCCCTTCTCCTCTCGAGGATCCCGTCTCTCTCCCTCTGTCCATCTTCCTCTCTGTTTCCCATTCCCACCGCGTCTTCTCTTCTGTCCGCGATCCGCGTGTCGTTTCTCTCGAGGAAACGCACGTGCACCTCGCGTTCTCCACGTGATGGAACGGGACAAAAGACGCAGTAACGGCCGCGATACACGATCCAGGACGTTCTTCTTTACTTTTACCCGGATGACGCGGAGGCGAAAGGAGGATCGAGAGGGAGCAGCATCGGGCGAGCATCCGGAAAGCGGAAGTCGCCTCGGACCGCGTCTATTTCGCAACGTTATCGATTCGAAAGGAAGGGACGAAGGTCGACGACGGTGGACGAGAGAAAGGCGCGATATACGCGGTGCCATCGCACCGCGATGCTCGACAACGACGAGGAGGAGGAGGATGGTGATGATGATGATGATGATGATGATGATGATGATGACGATGACGTCGTCGTCGTGCGCTACATGGGTCCCACCGCGTGTTGTTGGAACTGATCGAGATGCCTCGAGATCTCGCGGTGCAATTGTTCCGGTACCACTCCGACGCTGCTGAACAAAGATCTGAGAACGTTGAGCTCCTCCGTGAGCAGTTCGATCCTCTTCTTGAGCAGGTCGTTATCCTTCACCAACAGCTTCACCTTCTCCTCGGTCTCCCTCGATCGCACCTTCGCCTTCTCGCGGCTCTTTCTCACCGCTATGTTGTTCCTCTCGCGACGCCTTCTGTACTCGTCGCTCGCCTTGTCGATGGTCTTGGTCTGTTTTCTGGCGACGGCGGCGGCAGCGTTGGCGTGGTGTTGATGGGCCATCACAGGTTTCATCGGGCCGCCCCGAGGCGGCGGTTGATGGACCGGCGCACCGGGATGCCCACCCGGTACCGTGGACGGTGTCAAAGTGGTGAAGGTCGGCGCTCCGTTCGCGAACGGTCCGTTCGTGACCGGGCTGTATCCACCGGGCGGATATTGCGGGCAGTGGCGACGATAATCCGCCGGGTCTAACGGCTCCTCCTTGATGCTGGGCGACTCGGAACTCGAGCTGTTGCTGTCGCTACAACTGTTGCTGCCCTGGTGATAACTCGCTCCGCTGTGGACAGGTTGCGGCATGTAGGCGAGCGTGGTCCGTGGATAACCGGGCGTTCTCACATGTTTCACAGCCCCGTTGTTCGCCCCTAGCATGTCCAACAGGCCGTCGTTGAAGTGGCTGTCGTCGATCAGGTGTTGCAGATCTAACGATATCTCGGGTGTGTTCAGGTCTGTCAGCTCACCGGCCGCCGCGCAATGTTCCGCGTACTGTTGGTGAAGGCTAGCCTTGCTCGCCGAGACCTTGCTCACCACTGAACCGCTTTGCTGCTGGCTGTGATTATGATTCACTTGAAGAGCCGAGTTGTTGTTATTCGCGGCGTTGTTGTTATTGTTGTTGTTGCTCTGGTGATTGTTGTTGTTGTTGTTGTTGTTGAGTACCTGAGACTTCTTAAGATCGGCCGCACCGTGGGCCTGGGCCTGATGGGCCGCTGAATCGTACATGACTGGTGACTCCATTGCCTTCACTCGCACATCACAAATACTGTAATATCTTTCCGCAATTTTGTCCTATCACCTTCTCTTTTTTTTTTTTTTTTTACTCTTTGCCGAGTAGATATCCGATTGTCCGTAAAATGTCCGATTGTTCTTTAATCCTTATTATTACTTTCTTTTAATGGTAATAATAGTACGCGTGTAACTCCCGCGTACTAGATGTCACGATGTTGTCCACGGAAAAAAACAAAAAGAAGAGAAGAGAGAGAGAGAGAGAGAGAGAGTGAGTGAATGAGTCAAACGTATCGCTGTGAAACTTTACCACGAGAGAACGAGCTCGTATGGCAAGCCGGGAATTTTCCTGCGCGGACGAGCCGAGATCTGACACTGGTCCAAGTACCAAAACGTGACCCTCGACTATTCCAATTTTCGAGGACGAAGACGAGCACCTAATGTCCGATCGTTTTAGAGAAACGCGATTGTTTTTTGTCCGGTTAAAACCGCGTGGTTCGTATGTGCCAACGCGTTCACCACGCCTACGCGGGCTTTTTCGTGCTCGCGGTTACGGTACACCACAAGGAATGACGAGAAACCGAGAAAACGATACCACCCGCATGAGAGCTGGCGCACGACTGAGCGGCTTTGCGGCATGTCGCAAGCTTTCAATGTGGCGTGCGTCGAGAGCAACTCCATGGCTCATTGCGCTTGCGCTCGCCCTCTCACCCGCTCTCCCCGCCTCTTCCCTCGTGAACCGATCCGCGCTAAGAGCATGGATACCGCGCGTCCACCGCGCTCCTTCTCTCTCCCTCTCCGGTTTTCTCGAATTACTCCTTCCTTCTTTCTTCCTCTCCTTTCTATCTTCCCTTCCTCCTTCTCTGTCGCTCTTTCCCTCTCTCCTAAGCTAAATCTTTCTTTGTTCGTTTTAGAGGCTGACACACTGTCGTGTTCCGTCGCGGCATCGCGCGACAGGAAAACTTTTCCGGTGCTCGCCTTTCTCGGTTCTATTTATAAGAACTTATATACGAATCCACCGTTCTTTCGATACACGGATTTTCCACAGAAATTGGAAAATTTTCCTCTCGATTCTTGTTCCTCCTTTGTTCGATTGTTTCTCTTCCGATTGTGTATGCGCCTCCCGACGATAGCCCCGTTCGCGATATATACGTATGGAGAACGCGCGATTTGTTTCGCGGGACAAGTTGCTCGACGATTATCGTTACCGTCATCGTTGGGCACTCGATCGGAACCGATTTCTATGTAATAGCGGGTACATTTGATTTGTCAGTTAGCGCATGCTGATATCTGTCCAATTGCTTGCGTGAGATTGCGCAATTAGCAGTAACAAAGCGAGAGAGAGAGAGAGGATATGATCGGTGATAGATGCAAGATCCTTTTCGTGAATTTTATAGGGATTGAATGAATAATAAATGATGTTTATATTGCCGAAGTATCTTTTATCTGTAATCGTAAAATATTACGAGCGGTTTCGTTTAAATTTGGACCGACATCTCGTCGAGAGGAGAATTTGAACTTTATGATGCATGGTTTTAACTGTTCTATCTTTGTTTTAGGAGACCGCGTCCTTTGATGTTATATCTAGGAATGCATTTTGCGCGCTGCAATGACGTCGATATACAATTTTGGATTGACATTTATGTTGGGAGAATTTCGAATATTCCTCCAAGCGCGTAAATCAACGCCGCCAGCGACATCTTGAGAGGAAGAACGAAATTATTACCAGTCGGTACAGTGTTTCCGAACCGATCTAGAACGGAAAGATCCGAATTCGACCGAATTTCTTTGCCGTGATATTAGCCACAACAAAAAATTGGTAACATTCGCTTGAAAACTTTTCGGCAATACATGTTCTTCGCGTTCTTTTTGTGATTCAGCGTTGTACCAGAGAATACAGTGCTTCGTCAAGCCAAGGTACGTAATGAATTTCGATAGGTTATTTTTCTCGCGCGTTTCGTATTGTTGGTCCATTGTGGGTTTACGAGTGCTTTGACGGAACGATTCGTATCGTGTACGCGTATTGTTATGACAAAATACAAGTAACACGTCATGCAAAGCATTTTCAAAAACTAGATTAGAACGAATTTATGTTTTAGCGTAACACTTTCCATTTTTTCTAATCTTATTTCGTTAAATATTTTCCAACGCATCGTATACAAATCGTTTGAATATTTTTAGGCTTAACCTAAACAAAATCTGGTACATACAATTGAACACGAGATAGCAACATTTTGCTTCGTCTACATTTTAGAAACTTTGACCTTCGTCTTATAATGTGTATTCCTTCCCCTTTTTCTCTCTCTCTCTCTCT